GGGAGTGAAACTATTCGACTCTGCCATTAAAAAATAGGGGTGTTTTGAGCAAAAAAAACGTATAACCTGGAGTGCACACAACACACTGAATTTCGGAACAAATCTTGCATTATTTACAGCAGCAGAATACCACAGAAATATCAGACGAAACATGGAAACACTATATATATGTATTTCGGCCTGAACCCTCTCTATTGCAATTCCAGGAATTACCCCCCATATGTGCAACCATTTTCCACCTTGGTACCACCCAAGCCTGAAAACAAAATCTTAATACCACGCTGAAGCGTTTGGTAATAAACTTTATTGTTTCCATGTGAAAATAGATTACATAGGCTGTTTGCATCAACAAAGATTTGTTTTCGTTAATAAGATAATATTTTTAAACTAACTAGAATAAATGTACTAAATAAATAAATTAAATAAATATACAAATAAAAATCTATAAATAAATGAATAATTGATAGTTACACTGAACACGCCATGTTAGTGTACAATCACTTAAGTGAAAATGTAGCAGTTAACCCCACATGACAAATTGACAAGTGTTTATTACTGGGTGAATATGATCATTTGTGTCTAAGTGCGATAGTGCCATTTGTTTGATGTTAGAAATAAAAATGTCCACCTTGTATTTTTTATGTGTATTACTACTAATAGAGATTTGATATATATGATTATTGAATATGTTGCTAGGTTACGCAGTATATTCATGTCGACCTACCTGTGCTGAAGGCGATTCTGACAAAAATTGAAGAAGAAGAGCAAAAGAAAATTACAACAATCAAGAAGAAGTAAGTGTTTTATCTTTGATACTCATACTCGAGTTCGTCTAGAGATTTGATTTTCCATAATATGATGCGATCAAAACCTAGAAAAATCAAAGAAGTCTGCTGATAATATTCTTTTAAATTCTAAAAGAGAAAATTTCAGAAAAAACAAACATTTGACTGTGGAAGTATTTGGGGCATATTTTCACGCTTAATAATGGTGATGATGATGGTTACTTTGATGAAGTAAGGGTATCTTAATGAATTATTCCTTTGTCAAAGATCGGCATTTCGACATTGGGCTATACAAAATAAATTCAAAGTCAAATCATTTGTCATTCAGTCCTCCCATTTCACACAATACCCATGATCTTGCAGTGAGCAGAAAATCATCTATTAGCCATTGATCTCTTACTCAGACAGATTACCAACAGTGTTTATTTATGTTTTGCGTTTGTTGAATCTCGCGTAATATTTTAACAACACTGCGATGCTGTAATCTTTGTTTGTCTGGCTTTTACATTTGATTTAAAACTTAACATGAGTTTTCAGGGTAAATGGAAAATGGTCCATTGTAACATTGATGATATCTTTCTCTATTCCTAGGTATGAACGCTATCGACATGAAATAACTAAAAGAATA